GTTATACAGGGGGGTCAACTCACCACCTCCAACTGGTCCATGAGTTTGACCAGGAACTTCCTGCACTCTGGTGTCTTACTGTCCAGCTTCATTCCAGTCTGCATGGCATAGAGACGACCTGCAGCAGAGGACAGAGGAGACCAGGAGTGTCAGTCAGTCAGTCATGAGACAGCTTCCTGTCTCCCTGCAGAACACAGACCTGTCTGTCACCCTGTCTGTCACCCTGTCTGTCACCCTGTCTGTCATCCTGTCAACGTTCTTTAACGACCGGAGACCCACAACAAACCTCGTCGAGAAAATCACTCATTTTAGCTCCCGCCTCACACAGCTCAGACCAAATGCTGCTACTGACCTCTAGTGGTAGGTCTGGGTCTCTGGTCTGGACCTCAGAATATGTAACTCATTCTTTGGTACCAATGTCGGTCGAGATAATGAGTGATTTTGGTTTTTATTGATTCAATTGAAAAATAATACAAACAGCTAAAAGCTATTTAACAAAAACAAAACATTAGTTAAAAGTCAGTCTGGACTAGTCTATATATAAACTGCTACAACATATCCCGGAGTACACAAACGTGCAGCATCGAAGCTAAGATAGCTCAAATAACTTCTATATTTAGAAGCTGAAGCTAACACAGCCGGGGATAACTGTGGCTCAAACTAACAGCCACAGCTATAGGCTAACTGGGTGTTCAACGTTAGCAGTAGTTAAAGGACAAGAGACGTCACTAGTTTGACTGTGGTTTAGACGAACAGTGGCTCAGGCTAACCGTGGGCAGACAGCAGCTAAAAGGCTAACAGACTCACAGTAGTACGCCACCACCGGGTCCCGTGTCTCATGTTCCTGGGCTGTTCGGAGGTGGTGTTGAATGGAGCGAAGCGGAACCGGAACCGCCATTGTCCCGCCGAGGCCTCCGTTCACCGGGAAGGGAAGAATTAAAGGACGGAGAATTAAGAAGAAGAAAGAGATGAAGTCGCCACTGGGGTTGTTTTGGTCTTCAACGCTCTGTATCTTCACTTCCGCGTTCTTACCCAATAGGAGCGGCCGTCGACAGATGGCGGATGACGTAACTAGCAGTTTGACGTTTGGTATCAATGAATACTGTGAATGGAATTTTTTTTTTTTTTTTGAACTGTTGTGATTTGTCTGATATTTAAAATAAAGAAATAAAGAAAATGGCGTCAAACATTAAACCGTAAAAAGTCCTCAAAAATATCAGGTCCAACTCTGGGGTATTTGTAACGAACACGGTTCCACTGAGGAGCAGCCGCCGTTTTTACCTGGATAATTATATAGATGTAATTAAAGGGAAAAATGAACATGCTAAATAATGAACAATAATGTAAACAATTTCACAATATTTACATATATACTGTGTATACAGTGGTGTAGTTCGACATAAAGATGAGGCAGAAAGTCGTGACGTCAAAAAAGAGTGACGTCATCATCAGGTTCATGATGTTAAAGACTAAAACATGTTCAGGTCTTTGAACAGGTCAATCACGACA